TTAGACCTCCTAATAAGGCCAACTGATTTCAAATATACTTTTCCTGAAACTGAAATACTATTCTTTATACTGGGATGGCTTATATTACTAAAGGAGTGAATACACCAATGTAGAGCTTAGAAAATGTTGGCAAGGCACAAACTGTTTTGTGTTAGTTTAAATAAAACATTCAAGCTTAGAATGGTCAATGAGGAAATCCCATGAACATTTTTAAAAACAGATGCAGTGGCAGATCTGAACTTGTAAAGTATAAACAAATATTTTTGTTTAAAATAAACAAAGCAAATGTGAAATAAGATCAGACAAATACAAGTCCAGCAGAATAATACTCAAGCTATTCAAATAGACTAGCAACAAAACTTTAGCCCTCAGTAAAATTAAAGTGTAACATACTAACTGGACCTCGGGATTATTTCAAAATATCAAGATTGGAATATATGAGGTAGCAAGAGGCATGGTTGAAAAACATAAATCTGCCTCTCCCTAAGGATCTTCAAGTCAATGTATCTGCCTCAAAGAACAAAGTGTTTTCTATCTGCCTTTCCAAACCACTTCCATGGTTTTGCCTCTCTCTTCCAAAAGCCTTTCAGCACAATCTTGAAAACTGATTTATAGCTCATCATTTTTATCAGTAACATAAGGAGTTATGCATACTGTTCACAAATTCTTTCAAAGCAGTATCACAATGAAATGCACTTAAGTCAAAACCGGAACTCTAAAAGACAACTCAGTAGTTTAAGATCTCAACAAAACAATGCCACTAAAAATAACTTTAGATTAGATTATATCATGATCATTTCCAAGATAACTTGTATAAAATGATTCTACAAAGTGATTTACTTTATACTGGGTATCCAAAAACCAACAACTTCCAATTCTCTGTGCCACAAGGACCCAAAACAGCTAATCTGAAACTGACTTAAATTTTGTTTAAAAAAGTATTTTATATTACACAGGAACATAGATGTTTCTGGCAATTGACAATACTAAAACACTGTATCATTATTTTTAAACACTTGATTTTGTAGAAACTTCCTGTTCAGCTCTTTATTTGCTGTGTAATCATTAATAAATATCAACCTAGAGCAGAAACTTAAGAATCCTTACATTTTCCATAGCAAAGAGGTAAATCTTTTTCCTGATTATGTTTACAATTGATGCTGGTTTAAACCTGCTTAGTCAGCAAATTTTTATTGATCATGAAGTCAGAGCTAAACCATGCTTATGTCAAAAAGTATTCAGTTATAAAAGGAATCAGTAGTTAGATTCACTGACAGTAATTAAATGGAGCTGATGCAACTAAAGACTTAAAAAATTATTAAGAATGGCTTAAAAATTACTTTTAAGGGGGCCCTCCCTGGTGGCGCAGCGGGTTAAAGCACAGCACTGAGAAGCTAAAGCCACTTCCGCATGAGTTCGATCCTGGCTTGCCCCGAGGTGACCCACATGGCATGGCAGACCTCTCCTGACCCGCCCGCTGCTCCCCTCAGCAGTGTACTTCGTCGATCTGCCTGTTCTGTTCCTCGCTGTCTCTCGTGAAGCCTCTCGCCGCCCCTAAGCCTCTGGCCTGTACCCAAGTTCTGTATGCACAAATAAATAAATCTTTAAAAAAAAAAATTACTGTTAAGGTCCTCCCTGGTGGTGCAGCAGTTTAAAGCACAGCACTAAGAAGCTTAAGCCATTTCCGCATGAGTTCGATCCCTGCCTGCCCCGGAGGAGATCCACATGGTGTAGATCCACATGGTGTGGCAGACCTCTCCTGACCAGCCTGCAGTGTACTTCGTGGATCTGCCTGTTCTGCTTCCCACTCTGTCCCTGGTGAATCCTGTCACCCTCCACATCTCTGTCCTGTGCCCCAGTTCTGTACGAATAAATAAATTTTTAAAAAAAAAAATTACTGTTAAAGTAGCTAGTGACTTCCTGGCACTTTAAATACTCACTTGAAGCAGACAGGAAGTGCTTGTATCTAATAAACTTGCAGCTTCATTCTGCATCGTATTCTGTTGTGTAATTGCATCTTCTCTTTTCCGCTCTTTCTGTCCAGCTTCATCATCTTCATATTCATCTAGACACTGAAAGAAATAATTGTTTCCTTTTCATTTTCAAATACTATCAATAATGTTTTCACAGTTTATAAAGATATATTTGGTGGCATTAAAAATATGTATGTACTGAGAAACTAGTTTACACAGTGATGGATGAAAATTATCTGCTTAAAACCTGAACCTCCACATTCATACCCCTATCAACACATCTTCCCCTAAGCTCTAACTACCAGTGTTAAGAGTTTACTTAAAGGTAGTGCTCTCACATTCTTTACCTTTTGTTCAACAAGTAAACAGACTGTGTCTACATTAGCCTTTTGGAGAGTAGCTGAAGATAAAGCACAAACATGGAATTTATAGTCTGATAAGGAAGATAAGGTGGCATGTAAGCATACACCCACACAGCAATAATAATATAAGTAAGAATATTTTCACCTGGGAAACAAGTGTTCTACAAACATTCTATAGAAAAGCTCATAATTTGGAGGATGGGTATAATTTGGAATTGCAGACAGAGGAAAGTGAGGCTTTCACATGGTGAAAAGGCTTGAGCAAGATTAACACCAACAACTATCTCCAGGCATTTTATATGAAAAACAAGACAAGAAACAGAAAACAAAGCTATATGCATTACACCCATTGCAGAAGATTCTGTTCATTGCAAGTGAACACACTCCTAACCATTATACTGCCCCAGAGAGTTCTCTGAACAACACTTGTCTCTGGAGTGATGCTGTAAATACTGACAATACCAAATGTACAGTATGGCAGAGAAGACAATATGCTTTAAAAAATGTGCACAGAGAAAATTAAGATTAAGGTCACTGTATAAGCCAAGAATTATCAGTCACTTAAGTATACAAAATAAGAGGAATATAGTAAATAAACAGCACATTCAAAGACAGAGCGTCCACTGTTAAGTAATATGAAAGAAAGCATCCACCTGATATAAAATCCTAAATTAGAAGGACACGGAGAAGTCTGTAGACAGAATGGAAATGAGTTAAAGAAAAGATAGATTCAGAATGAAGAGAATGTTAGGGTCCTCTCCTGTAATGCAACTAAAGGTAAATACAGGTATCACCCAGCCATCACCATATCACCTGGTGGGAACTAGGGCTTATGTAAGCAATACAAGAAAAATAAAGGTACTGTGGCTACTTCTACTGCTGTGAGTAGTGAATCACCCCTGACTATAGCCATGAGACTAGTGTCTTCTGCCAAGATTCATGAAACCAACATGTTAGCTTGCAAGGAGAACAAGACCTCAGGATCTTCACAGTTCTTGACAAAGGTGAGGATTCGAAAAGCCTATTTTCTAATCACAAGTAAATACAAATAATAAGCAACTGGAGGAGTTCGGTCTTTTCCTTTACATAGTACAGAAAGACATTACAATGCTAAAATTCTCTGGCATACACAAAAAAACATGATCAAGACTGATTTTAGAAAAAGAAGATGAATACAGCAATTTAAGTACAGGTTCAGAGGAATAGGGGCCAAAAGTGGAAAGAGTAGTTAGTCAACATTTTAGGGGATTTGATCCTATGATAAATGATACATTCTAGATGGGAATACAATTTTTAGGGGATTTGATCCTATGATAAATGATACATTCTAGATGGGAATACAATCCACAAATCTAGTAAATGGTACAAAGGTTTAAGAAATTAGTCATGATTTTAAAAGGAATCCCTTTTAAGACTTAAATCAGAAATCAATACACTATCATGTTTAATAGAAAAATAATCAAAATTTTAAAGCACAATCAAATTGATGTTCTCTATCAACATTACTATAACATCCAACATTACTATAACATCACTCTGAAAGTACTGGCTGGTACAAATTAGGCAAAAGAATGAGATTTTGCAATAGAAACTAAAATTCCTGATTTCAGATGATATGATTTTGTCAAGAAAATAATATTTGAGAATTATCAGTACTTAAAAGGTAACTTTGTAGTAAGCATACAAAAATAGCTTCTACAATAATATCAACAGGCAGTTGGATAATATAATTTCCATAAATAGAAAAATACCATAAATAGAAAAACTTTATGGAAAAATTTTACTGAGAGTTAGAAATTAAAACCTAGTCTTCAAATTAGAAAGCCTTATATCAAGATATCAGTAATCCACATGTCAATTTATAGTCTGAATAAAGACTCCAATCAAAATCTTAATAGCACTTACGTGAAAAGTAGGCATGGTTCATCTAGATGAATAAAATACAACATCCAAAAAATTAAGACAAGTCATGAGACAACAATCACTCTAGTTAACATTAAACTGTATAAACTATATTAATTAAAAATGTATGACAGAGGTTCTAGAACAAAAGAGAATAAAGTCACTTAATGATTGATGACAACTAAGAATCAAGAATATAAGATCAAGAAAGGAAAAATGTTCTCATCTCTACTCTTGTACTCTATGAAAGCAATCACCCCTCATTCTCTAATGTCTAGACTGCAAAAAATCCATGAGGATAGGACCCAATGTCTGCAGCATAAAGCTAGAATTTTTAAATAGCAGAGTAGCATAGAAGAAAATAAAGGTTTAGACAGGTAACCAAATTCCCTAAAAACTTGATTGCTACTTTTATTTCCATTTCCTGAGACTCAGCCCCACAAACAGGAACCTCCCCTCTTCCCACTACCCCTCAAACAGCACTTTAGAAGAACTCAGTAAATGTTTGATAAATGAATGAATGAGTTACCAAGATGAGATAATTCAGGGAGATTGTCTGTGGTACTCCAAGTTAAATTCTGATTGTTCTTTTCCAGGGCAACATTTATATCCACTGACTGGGGAAACCTACTCATCACAAAATCTACCTTTGTGGATAGTTTGTATCTTCCATTCCAGGCAACTTTAAGAATAGGTATTACCTGATGAATCACAATTTAGTCCCTAAGCTCTTTTAGCATAAAAAACAGTTCTTTTAGCAATCAGAGCTCCACAAAGTCCTTAAGTTATCTTATGTAACAGAGTTAAATACAAATGGAAGAACAATGTGGAAACAGTGAGAAAACAGAAATGGAAAACAAACAACTGAATAAATGAACAAAGTCTGTTAAAAAACATTTTCTGGGCCCTCCGTGGTGGTGCAGCGGGTTAAGGCACAGCAGTGAGAATCTAAAGCCACTTCCGCATGAGTTCGATTCCCGCCTGCCCCGGAGGAGACCACATGGCATGGCAGACCTCTCCTGACCCGCCCGCTGCTCCCCTCAGCAGTGTACTTCGTCGATCTGCCTGTTCTGTGAAGCCTTTCACCGCCCCTGAGCCTCTGGCCTGTACCCCAGTTCTGTAAGTTCTGTATGACAAATAAATAAATCTTAAAAAAAAAAAAAAAAAAAAAACATTTTCTACTTCATTCTTTGCAAAGATCAGTAATTCTTTGCAAAGATCAGTAATTCAATCTGACTGCTATCTTTCAAGGGAGAAAGAGTAGTTTTTAAACCAATATTAGTAAAAATGAACCAAAAGAAGCGAATGCCTTTTTAGCTCTTCTTCCCATTGTTTGATGGGGCTGTTTATTTTTGTTGAGTTTCATCAGTTCGTTTTATATCTTTGTGATCAATTCTTTATCACTAGTATTGTGTGAGAAATTTTTTTCCCAATCAGTGGATGGCACAAACCAATTTTACAACAAAAGTAGTAACTCACATTTATAAGTGATTTAGGGGTATCTGGATAGTTGCATTTATTCTACATGCCACATGTTAGCAAAGAGTTTAGTTACTCATTTGAAGTAAGTAAAAATTTGAAGGCACACTTTACCAAAAATAAAAATAAAAAATACAGGGATAGCAAGTAGACACATGAAGAGCTCAGTATCAGTCATTAGGAAAATACAAATGAAAATCTTATGTGCTATCTCAATAAACCTACTAGAATAGACAACACAAGTGATAATGAGTATCTCCCTAAGTTGCTGGAGGAAATGGAAAAAGACCACATGGCAGCCATCTGGCAAAGGAGTAACAGAAATAGAGCCACAGAATGGTCTGCTACTCAGCAACAGATGAATGAATTGAAAAGGTATCATGAAGTGAAATTCACCAGAAAATGCAACTATACACTTATGATTCCACTTAAATATGATTCTAGAAAAAGTTACAACAGATCAGTCATTGCCAGGAGCTGGGAGTTCAGTAAGGTTGACTGGAAGGGACAGAATGAATGACGGAAACATTCTATACTCCAATTTTCATTTTGGTTTTTACCCAGTTGTATGCATGTCACAATTCATAAAATCGCACTCCTAAAACAGTAGCATAATGTTATATGTAATTAACAGTTCAACAAATATGACTGACTAAAAAAGAAAAATAATCGCATTACTGAACAAATAGCATTAGTTAAAACAAACAAACAAACAAAAGACAACCTAAATCTTTAATTAAACCTCTACATTAAACTAAATATAGGAAACAGAGGGGTGAACCTAAGATAGTTCTAGCAAGATGGTAGAACAGTAAAAAACTTGCACTTATTGTCTCCCCACATAAACAAACAAACAAAAAAACATACATACAAAAACAGCAGTTCCTAAAAAGGACTGGAGTCTGGAGGCTAAGCACTTTCACAAGGAAAGCAACAGGAAATGTAGGCGAGGGTAGGAAAAAAGAGCAATTTCATTGTTCATCCTATATCCATGAGATTAAGAGATTGTTTTTTACCTTTTCAGGTACAACGGTTCTTTAGTTTAAAAATAAAAAAATAGCTTCCCTTATCTTTTCAAGAGATATACCAAAATACATTAAGTTTGAAATGTCGCCTGATAGTGACCTCAAAATAATGAAGATGGGATATATATGTAGAGATACAAATAAAAAAACTCCATAAATTGTTAGCTGCTAAAGCTTACAGATGATTTAGCTCCTTACTTTTATAAGAAACTGCAATTCCCATAAGGGTTTTTTTGTTTTTTTTTTTTGAAGATTTATTTATTTATGCTTGCTGGGGTACAGGCCAGAGGTGTGGTGGGTGAGAGGATTCACCAAAGAGGCAGACTGACAA